CTGGAGCAGACATAGAGATGCAGCAAAAGTTTACCAACGCAAAGGATACACTGTCAATTAAAAATGAAGGGACAATGGGCTGTGATTGAGAACGTTTTTTAAACAGCATGATCCCGGGAAAAAAAACATTATCCTGGCAACATGTCATGAAAATCAAGGAATCCTTACAAATTACACCCATTTATGAGCAATCAGGGAGTTAAATGTGAAGTCTGAGCTGAGTAAAACCTGCAATCAAGGACTGTATAAAGTAGGATGTGTTTGAGTGGTCTCTGACTTATTCCCATATCACACTTCATCTTCACTTTGGATACATCTTACTTACAGCCATGCAATAAACTGGAGCAGGGTACTATGTTAACATTATGCATACTATCATGTACACTTATTCTCCATCATTGTTAAAGCTCTATGTGTATATAAGTAAAAGTTCAGGTAAGTTCAGGAAAAATAAGACTATAGGATTTGAGATCAGCTCTGGTAATAAATGAAAGCCGTAAATGGAGCTATTGGATGCAGTTTCAGAACAACTGGGCATTATTTTGCATTAGTGGGTATTACTGGACAGTTGCAGTTCAATAATCAAGAGATTTTTTTTTAGAGGAAGCATTTGTGAAAAGTGATAAAGTAAGAACGAGAAGAGAGCTTGTGTAGCATACAAGCAACAGAACAGCGGAGAGGAAGAACAGACAAGGACACTGCTCTCATGTTCCACGAGGAAGGCAAATCTTTTAATCACCCCTGCTCTTCAGGCTGGGCAATGGAGTGCTGGCATGCAGGGATGAGCTCAGACCTGAATTAAAAGGATTTTTCTGATCTTCAATGTGCTCCTGTCTCTGGAAATGATACAGAAGGGATCAGTGCCTTTCGAGCTGAAGTCATGGGGCACAGAACGCAGCAGGGATCTGGCTGTCTAGTGTAAACAGTGCCCCTTGCGGAGCAACTACAGGAGGACAGTGGGTGCCCAGCAGAAAATGGGGAAGTTGAGGAGCAGTTGCAGAAGGACTTTCCTTCACATCCTCCCGATTCTAGGAATTGTGCAACCAGATAGTGACAGAGAAAAGCGTCTTTGCCTGATGGAATCATATCTACACTCTTACTCAAGATGACAACAGCTATAGGAAAGCCCACCACCCACCTGAGACTCTTCATACCGTTTTGAGCAATAAATGTGGTCTCTTGAAAAAGAAATAACTACACCTGAAAAGCTGAGACAGAAAACCAGTCCTCTGGGGGTAAAGGTACTTTACAACATTAACCATGCATCAGGTATTTCCCCCGGACCGTACCAGGTACTAAGACTGAGGCTGGGTGACTGCTCTCTTCCCCCTCCTGCGTGACCCGACTTCCTACAATCAACCAGCTCTGTTGGCGTGACAGCCCCTAGCATTTACAGTACGACGTGTACCAAGAAAAGTTTACCACTGTATTTTCCTAATGACCGACTAGAGTGTGTCGCAACGGGCCAGGTTGGCATTCTGCATTCTCAGGCTCGAGAGCCGCGGCATCTTTCATGACGTGCGGACCCGGGGGCGTTGAGGCATGTAGGCAAACGCTCGCAATGCACGTGTCTCGCACGCACCCCCAACCTCCCCGCACGGGTCCCGGCGCAGACCCGGCGTCAAACCTCCTCATCATCAGCAAGCCAGCAAGACGTAGCCTTGAAAGGCACCCTGCTGCCGCAACTTTCAAAAGAGAAGAGCCCTCTACATTAACCACAACTGGGAACTGCAGACAGAAGTCTGCTGCAGACCACCCACACGAGTGCATTAAGAGTTTAGACAAGTATAACGGCTGGCATGCATGCACTTTTTGCCAGCTATCTAAACTAAGATTACTAGTTTAGCAGAAGTGAGCAGGGAAGAGTCCAAGGCATTGAATCAGTTAACTGAATTCTACCCTGGATCCTTACTTGTGTAGGAGTTATTTAATTATACCCTCTTCTTTGTTGTTTAAAAGCATGCCACTCTTCATGTTTGCTTATCCACGGAAATCTGTCAATAAGGAGTGTTATAAAAAGGGCGGAATATCTGAGGCCCCATAAACAAGCTGGTCCGCAGGCTCTTAGCGCAGCGCTTGCATGCTTTGAGCAATTTGTCAGTCATTTTGCCGCCTTCACTAAAGGAACCCGCGGATAACAATTCCCCTTGTTTTTCGGAAAAGCTCCGGTTTCCGGCGCAATCGAGCCTTCATCAACAGGACACCGCTTGCCCTGGGGGTGCCTGGGCTCCCTCGGTCTGAGCACCACAACTGGTAATCAGCGCTGTGCCGGCAGATCGTTTGGAGGCACTCTATCCTAATGAGATCGCCATGCAGCCCGGCCAAGTGTTCAGCGTCACCTAATGAGATTACTGTCCTACGAGTGGGATATTAAGGGAATATAAAGTAGCTAGGAGTCAAGATAAGCTCTTAGTTGTTCTTACTGCCACTGCATTGTTCAAAAAAAGGATGATGTACACAGCCCAGAGGGTACAACCACTCCAGATCTTACCACCGATATAGCTGATATGCTGATTTAATACAAATAAACAGCTGTCACGGATTATGAGATTTCCATCGCTCAGTTTACGCAACCTTGCACCCCTTTCTAACCACCACCCATGTGATCACCAGATATGGAGTTCAAACGTGGCTTCTCTGCCTCTGGATGAGGGTCCAATACCCTTGAGTTCTCAGAGGAAGGAGGAAAGCAAGGGAATCTCAAGCACATCCCCTAAAGGTCAACGGCTAAGATCCCACCTCACCTCAGCAGTGAGGTGAGACACTCGCCTGCCCTAGGTAGGCAGTACAGGTAGGAACCACAGTCTTCTGCAAATGTCAGCAATGACAGAAAGGACTTAGAGAGTTCTTAACAAAGTGCAAAAGACGCTCAGAGAAGTTAATGCTAGCTGGCCCGGATACTTGGCACATCCTAAAGTGTGCTCATCATAAACTGCAACTGCTCAGCTCAGCAACACTGCGAGTTTTATGGACGCCCAGAGAGCTCCGCTTTGTAAATATCTGCTCTCAGATCAATCAGAGCGACCGCAGCACTAGAGAGGGGCCCAGAATGGGAGCGGAATTAAAAGCGGAGCCTCTTTGCACCTGTGGGAAGACAGTCCTCAGGTGAGAGATGCCGGGCTGGGAAAGAGGCCATACGGAGTCGAAGAGCCTGGGATCAGGAGACCCGAGGTGGGGGAATCTCCTGGTCTCCCTGTGATGAGCAGTCAACATCACTGCTCACTGGGAACTGCATCATGGTCAGTGCAAAACTCTCAAGAGCAGGAATTTCTCTGTGTCACACAACCCCACCTCAGTCCTTACCAGCAGCAGCAAGTCTCCATTAAGCTGCTCCTCCTGGAACAGTCGCAAGAAGTAGTACTTAACTGCTTAACACATAAAATACTTCAAACCACAGCATCACGGACAGGTTTTGGCTTCTATTACCATCCACCCGTTTTCTGAACTGATCTATCCCGTGGAGGAGAGACGGGGCCTATCCTGGCAGGCAGCAGGAGCAAGGCGGGATACACCCTGGAGGGGACGCCTGTCGATCGCGGGGCTTTGGACTGCAGGAGGACACTGAGGCACCGGTAGCAATCCCACAAGAGCCTAGGGAGTTCGGACTCCACGCGGAGGCAGCGCCCCAGGGACCACAGCCAGGGCGCCTGCAGCAGTGCCGACCACTGCGGCAGCGAGCTGCTCTGTCGTTGTCATTCTCGGCGCGGCCGGCCGTGCCTCCTCCCGCTGCCCCTGGCCCGGTCACGCTCCGCGGCAGAGTGTGCCGCACTGGATTCAATTTGGGCAGCCCGCTCCGGCCAGGCTTGCCGGAGCACGGAGCGTGACGGCAGTAAATTCTCCCGCTCCGATTCGGCCATATGCGCTCATCAGGGCTCTTTCACACTTCATTGGCCAGCGGCTCCGGCACCCTTGATTTATCTGCCCGCTGTGCTGCCCCTCCGCCTCCGGGAACCATGAAACCGCTCTTCCCAGAGACAGAGCGGCTGCTCTCGGGCTTGTTCCTGCACTTCTGCCGGCAGACACCGGGCTTGCCTGCGCGCCGCCGGGCCGCGACCACGAAGGGCTGAGCCTTAGCACGCCGGCACCGAGAGCTACCACACACAGCGAGGATGCCAAGCCTCAAGGGCAGAGTGTCGCCTCCCTGAGTCACACGACACGGCCTCATTCCTCACCCTCGCCTGGGCTCGCCGAGTGACGCTTTCCAAACACCGCAGCGCAGAACGGGGCAAGAAACACGGTGAACTTGAGGGCTCGGCAGCCGGCCAAACGGTTTTCCTCTGCCTGCTTGTGCTGGGGGACAAGTTGTGGACTTGAGTGCCCTCACAAAAGGGCTGACTCTAGGTGCATGTGCCCCTGGGTAAGAGCAGGCAACAGCAGACCAGGCTAGTGTGTCAATTCAGACAGCCAGGAGAATTTACAGGCAATACTTTGTACGGTAGCTATAAAAACACCTGTGTAAGGTACAGTTAAAACCAAAAAAAGCTGGACCCACATTTCACACAGAACTATGTCAACTGGTATTGGGAAAATGTTCCAGTCCTGTCTCCACAGATATGTCTTTTTTTTTTGAAAGGCTGCATTAAAATACCTAAACTTCCTTCAGTAAATGTATTCATTTTCATAACATATTAAAAATATAAAAACAAAAACGATCTTTACCAGCAAAGACTTTCACTCCAACCGAAGTTATGTTCCACTAACCTGAAATAGAGCATTTGTTTCACCTGTCTTTCTGTCCCTGAACTGGGCACAAAGCTGCTGGCCGTGTGACTCAATGGAGCACAAGCTTATAAACGCATCACACTTTCATTGATCTGGGGGGTCCTAGGAGGCATGCCATTTCCCCATTCCTGTCATTCCGGGGCTATTATTTCCTAATTAGCGCCCAGAAGGGGATAGCAAGGGAAACAGAGAAAGAAAACATACAATAATGGCATCCTGAGAGCATTGGAACCAAGCCCCAAGTGCTGAGAAGTAAAGGGGAAATACTTCTGGCTTACCTGGGGAGAAGGTGCGCACCTGCTGGACAGTATCTGTGGAGACAAGAGAAGAGGTCGGACAGTCAGAAGCCAAGAACAACCTCAGCACATAAAAAGCCCCGTATTTCACTTCCCGAGTTTGGATCCACGGCACAGATGTCTCTTCAGGGAGCTGTCCCATTGACCTCATGAGTCTCCAGATTTTGATACCAATGACATTCCCTCTGAGTAAACCTTTTAAGGAACTACAGATAAGATGGACATGCTCTGATGGAGATTCGGCACTGCAATTTTTATTCACAAATATCTGCAATTAAAGACAGGTCAGACATCTGGCAGATGACATTTAATGTACACAAAGTCCGGGTTATTACATGCAGGGGTAAAAAAAATAAAGCTACTAAAAAATAAGCCCTGTATAGTCATTCCTCATAGGACTCTCATTTCTGGTTCATGTACTGCACATTTAGTGCGATATTTTAATCAGAAATCTCTGTCATGACAGAGGGGCCTCAGGCCAAACACAGTGCAGTAGGCGCTCAATCACCCCACAACTTCAGAGCCTCTGTAATAAAACCTCTGACAGGCAGACTTTTCAGAAGGAAAATCAGAACAGACATGGCAGTTTTCTGCTGGGTTATTTCAGAAAAGGAGAGTTATTTTATGATCGTGTTGGGGAAGCACGGCCAACAAACAGGGGTTGGTGATTTTTTTCATTTATTGTCTTTTTCCTCATTTAAAATAAAATAAGTAATCGACACCTGTTGCCACATGAAGCTGGGAAACCTAAAACCACAGAGTGGGGGGAGATCAGGAGTTTCTAGTTGCTTTCCCAAGCACTTTGGAGGTGTTCATTAAGTACCATTAATAAGTACTGATTTTATTTATCTACATTCTAAATAAATATTCAGTAAACAGCTAAACGTTATAGTTCTCTAGTTCAAGAACCATGTGGTCTGTAACTTCATCTGTAAATTTATCTTCTTTTTGTATCTTTCTTTTCTGTGGGTGACTTGTGCTCAGATAAGCACCTCCTTATTTTCTGCTGTAGGCCATTTGTCATCTTTCCCTCAGCCATCCCAGGGATGCAGGGGAGCGGGCATCTTCCCAGGGAAGAGCAGGTGCAAGCTCTGAAGAGATACATTGTGATGGCAAGGATTTGCAAGAAATGGAGTCCCCTGTGCACAACGCTGTTCTGAACACTACAAGCAACATTTGCACCTCAGAAAACATTTTACAGCGTTTAAAAGGACAAAACAGAGATGGAGAAAAGCGGAATGAACATGAAGGTTTACTAGTAACACACAGGTGAATGCTCTGTGAATACAGGTGATGTCATTAGTGGAATATCACAAGGATCTGTATTTGTAACACTGCTGCTTTTATATTACATCAATGGACAGAATTCTGGGATAGTATTTTACAGTGGATGCCCTCGCAGATGATATGAAAAGAGGAAGATTATCAAAAAACTGTAGGAGCTGCAAAGGAAATCAAAACAATTTGAGTGACTCGAGATTAGGCCAACACCTGGCGGATGGTCTTTGAAGCAGACAAGTGCAGGGTATTACACACCGGGAACAAAAGCAAAATATACATGTGAGATATATCAAACTCGGCTAACAGGTAGAATCTGCTTAGGAAAAAGATTTAGAGCTGGTGGTTTCAGTTTTTTGGGGGGGTTATTAACATTTATGGTTAAATGTTTATTTTTTATTGTTAAAATCCTAATGTGTGCACTGTTTTACAACATTTAGAATACTGTGTTCAATTTTGGTCACTGTGAGATATAAAGACATAACTGCTCTGGAGTCAGTCAAGAGAAAAGCAACATATCAAGGAATAACAGGGCACACACACGCACGCAGGGAATTTAGAGACTGAACTTATTCCAGCCAGAATGTTTTTGCAAAGCAGGAGGAAGCCATATGGTCATGTGAGAACTCCACACACAAAGCCTGAAATCAAACCCAGGACCGAAAAACTGTGCGGCGGCCATAACATCCACCACACCACTGTGCCGACCCAACAGGTGTCATTTTAGCCACGATCCCTGCCAGGGCCTGTTAAAATACTCCCAACTCCCATTTTTTTTAACCGTATTTATGATCCAAACAATCTGACTCCATGTTGTCAAGGGCTCTGAGAGTTTCATAAGTGCTCTACTGGATCATAAAAAGGTGTCCAGTATTTCTTTACAACTCTTATTTAACGAACGGAATAGGTCTCCTTGGTGTGACTGAGGTTTGGAAATGCAGCTGCTGTGCTCCGCACTGCTATCGCCGTCTTCACTCTCCCGAATTTCTATTTTCTTCACAGAAGAATGGGATCAAAACCTTGCTGCGAGAAAACTAACAACGCAAAAATTGACCATGAAAAGCAGCGTTTAGCGCCCATCCCCTTGAGTTTAAAGGATGAGACTCTTGCTCAGCAGAGGTGAAGGCTGCTCTTTCTGTGGAGGCTCTGCCTTTGGGTTACAGTACCCTGTACGCCAGGAAGTTCACTTCAAAACCACTGAGGAGGCGGACAGGAGGGTTAAAACAAGGCTACCAGTGGTACGAGACACTACTTGGACATAACAAGTTGAAGGTAATTAAACTAATGAGTCACCATCAGAGGCTTTCAGGGGCAGACTCTAATGCGTCTGAAAGGAAGTGGCCATTAAAAGAATTTTTTCGCTAATTAACGTCCTTATTGGTGGCTTTCTGCCTTTTAATTGAAGATCTGACTCTAAACAAACCGACATGTGCTTCCCACTTGAACGAGGACAACAAGTAATGAACAGACTCCACAAACATGACAGGTTTGTTTTTAATTATGCCCCTGATGAAGGCGAACAAGAGACCTGTGTTCTCAAGACAGTATTTATAGGACCAAACAAGGCAGCCTGAGAACGAAGACTGAGTGGCGACTTAACGTGACACGATCTAGTCTCAGAGCACTCACCACTGAGTCTGCAACCGCAGAGGAGAAAGATCATCCATGGTTTCAGCCATACAAGATTTCAGTCATGATTCAATGTTACCACTGGGTGGATGGGAAGCCTCCTGTTCACAAACTTAGCCGCCATCTCTAGCACCTAGTTCGTGAATGAATCACCTGGCAGGTGAGTTCACCTTTGCACTAACCTATTCTGAGTAAAATCTACAAAGACAATCTAGAGGAAATGAGCACAGATTTACATTTTTGGCTTCATCTGCCCAGCGTACTATATACAAGAACGTGTTGCTGGTAAAAACCCGATATGTAATTTGCATTGACATGACGGGATATTTTTTTTAAAGAGAACGGCAGTGGTTCTTGTGCAAACTTGTATTATCAAAAAAAAAAACTTATCAGTCCCTGTGAGCAAAACTGTACCAGCTCATAATTACAGAAGACAGAAAGACAAAGAAGACCTATTTTGCTGTCGGATTTATTTTTGGATTAAAATTTACATGAAGTAATCACTCTGTGCAGAGGAAGAGCAGGTAGGCTGATTTCATGCAGCAAGGTGAGCACACATGACATTGTATGAGATAAAGCTTACCAGCTCCATATCTCAACCTGTCATGCAGCCCCCACTCACTGCCTTAAAAAAGATTGAGAGCAGAGTAGTACCCCATCACAACAGCGTTACCAGGCTGTAGCCTGACCTCTTCAGACCTCGGACACTAAGCAAGGCTGGGTCTTGTCTGTACTGGGGTGGTACTCTAAGGACAACTAAGTTACAGCTGCAAGCGGTATTAATTGACCAAATAGGTGGCACTCTTCTCTCTAGCCCAGAACTTCCAAGCCAATGCCCCAGCATGGTGGGTGAATACATGCTGTCCATCAGATAAGAGGGTACACTGAGGTCTTGAACACCTGGTCTTTCATAAGCCAATAGCACTGCTGGTGAGACCAGGGATGTTAACCCTGGAGTCCTGGCCTCTCTAAAGTTCCCTCTTAATTTAACTGGTGAAGTAGTTTCTCACTTCCCCATCTGCTCTCCTGGATAGAGGGGCTGCTGGTACAGGATAGTAGATGAAATGTGTCCCCTATACAGTGTAAAGTGCTTAGGGATCAGTTGGGATGAAAAGCACAATGCGAATATAAGGAATCACTAATTGCCCGGCATGGTGCAACACATGCACAAAGCACTATTCTCATGCACCGAGAAGCACTGCAGTACTTTAGTGTATATTAAACTGAAGTGCATTATAGTGTCTGGCTGCAAATGCATGTTCTTTCCAAGGTAGTGATACTGCAGTCTCCGAGTTCAAGGTGGATAAAGGGTTAATACTATTACCAACCATCACATGACTCTCACAACATCTACTGGCACTGCTCTTGGCCACCACAGCCACTAGAGCTCAGAGCAATATCATATGAAGTCAACAAGAAGGGAGCTCCACCACTATGGAAATTGACTGGAAGGGTCAACTGATTAATATGAGAAGGTCAAACGAGCCATCATCTGCACGGCAGTCCATATTTAACTCTCAATCATACGCATCACTTCAATTCTGTGCCTGCAAAAAAAAAACACTCATACGACTCTGATGTGACGATCATGGCATCAAGTTTAATTTCCCGCAGCATCAGAAAGCCCCCCTGAAGCGATAGCTGCGCAGCCCACTTGCACATCCACAGCTCGTTCTGTCCTGGAAACCCCCGGTGTCCAGGACTGTCACCCTGAGTCCAGCCCGCTTGGGATCTCTCAGTGCAGTCTGTTCTCTGTTGCCAGTGTCCGCAGGGACGGGCTCTCCTGCTCTCTTTCATTCCCGTTTATTTATCAAATCTTTTTAATTGCAGAGTAAAGGAGAGGCACTGCGCCCCCGTGCCTCCATCGCCTGCCATCGGCGTCCCGTCCTCCAGCAACATTTCAAAGGCTCCTTCTAACCCCAAGGGGGTTTGCTAGACTCTTATTAACTTGTAAATTTATTCCCGTTTTCTCCTTAACATTCCACCGCCAAAACACACGGCTCATTTTTAATAAATGAGCCTGATTTACCAGGAACATCTTCGGAGCTCATCTCCTGCGCACTGAATATTCATCTCCTCAGAAAAGGAGGTACCCCTTCTCTGCGTCT